GTTCATGCAGGACATATAGGGCTCAAAATGCCATAACAAGCTCCATAAGGGGTTTCATGCATAGAGACTTGTCCAAAGCTTGATAAAGCTTTGATCTTTGGGCTCATGGGACCTCAATATGCCCAGATCTGGAGTCTCAACTCCATGACAAGCTCATAACACTCTAGGACTCCAAGAAGGATGGGGAAAAGGCTCTAAATGCCCTAAAACGAGATCTAACCAACCAATGAGCAATATGGTGACTTTTTACCTTCAAACAGAAGGTAGGTATGAATGAACACCAGATCCAAAAGCTCCTTCTCGCCCAAAGTCTCTTGCTCTTCAACTCTCCTCCAAGAGTGCACTAAAACTCACAATATTAGCCTCTCTTTCTCACACACAAGGTTATTGCTCGATTAGGGTTTCACACAGTGTAGTAGGGTGACAAGGGTGGCGGAAATAAGGGCTTAAGGTCCTTTAAATAGGACACAAACCCTGAAAACTAGGGTTTTCTTGCTCAGCTCCTACTCATCGAGTCGGGCTCCTCCGACTTGTCGAGTAGACTCTAACATCCCGCGGCCATAATATTCTCTACTCGGCGAGTTGGGGCATCCAACTCGTCGAGTTGCTCTAACAAAATGAGTAAATAAATTAAATATCATACCTGGGAGTCAGGATGTTACATAAACTCATCAAGATGAAGACTTATACCTCCTTGAGATGCTAAAGGAAAGTGAACTTCTGGATCTTCTTTGCCTTGGACTCCCAATGGGGTCTTCCACCACCTTTTCCTTCACAAGCACCAAAAACTCATACTTTTAAGGCTAAAAATAACAAAATGGATTTAGGGTTTGCAAGGGACGATTTTTGAGAGATGGAGGCTGATGGGAGAAGCCTATAAAGGGGCTAAGGATCTTTAAATAGGGCTCAACCCTTAAACTTTAGGGTTTTCCCCAACAGCCACTAGCATATCGTGGCGAAATCACCACATCGTAGCGTTCATTAAATCCCGTGGCCCAAAGCTCACTGCCACGTCGTGGTGAGGCTTCACCACGTCGTGGTTTCCAAAGAAGATTACCATACATACTCGAAAATAATACCATACCTGAAACCGGGTGTTACATGATGGTTTAATGACCATTGAGGAACAAGTTGCTAAATTCCTAAACATATTAGCACACCACAAAAAAATAGATTTATTCAAGTTAGATACTATTGGCCAGGGAAACAGTAAGTCGGTGTTTTCATCGTGTTTTAGATGCTTTAATGCGTTTGCATCAGATATTATTTGTCAACCCAACGCATGTTGCAAATGATTGTATATACACCCGGTGTAAGTGGTTCCATGTAACCATTATAACATTATTATGATATATTATAAAATTTAGGTTTTTAACTAACAATACATTAAAATTTTATTTATATGGTTGTCTAGGAGCAATTAATGGAACTTATATCGAAGTTAATGTCCTTGACTCAGATAAACCAAGGTACCGAGCAAGAAAGGATAATATAGCAATGAATGTCTTAGGTTTCTGCAAATCATGACATTAATTTTGTCTATGTCTTAGCTAGTTGGGAAGGTTCGACTACCAATTAATACCTTTTACTTTTTATATTATATGTACTATTATTTGGTTGATGGATGTTATATCAATGGTGAAGGGTTTTTGGCACCGAATAGAGGTACTAGGTATCATTTACGGGAATGGGAAGGAAGTACACGTGCTCCTACAAATAAGGAGGAATACTTTAACATGAAACACTCACAAGCGAGAAATGTTATTGAGTGGTGTTTTGGTCTACTAAAGGGATGTTGGGTCTATATTAAGAAGTCCTTCATTTTTTCCAATAAGAATTCATGGGAGAATGGTCATAACATGTGCTTTACTGTATAATTTTATTAAGAAACACATGGCTCTAGATCCAGAGGAAAACACGTCAAGCACTGTTGAAGATATGCCTATCGGGAAAAGCAGCCAAATCAATTTCAAATTGTGGATGTTGTTGAATCAAGTAACAAATGGACTCAATGGAGGGGTGATTTAGCCAAGAAATGTTTGATTCTCAGATGTCAACCATATCTTATTAGATTTTTTTATTTTTTTATTTTAGAACTTTTATTTTTAAGTTTGTTATTTGTAATTGTTATGGACGTCAAGAAATTTGAATTTTGTGTATTTTTTTTATTAATTTTAACTGGATTAATTGTTTTAATATTTTCCATTTTTATATATTTGCTATAGGTGGTATTGCTGAATCGGTTGCTGATGCAACAAAAAAAAAGAAAAAAAAATTGATAACGAAGAAGGAGAAAATTTTCCATCGCCTTGTAATATTCAAAACACTGCAACTTCCTCTGATCCGAATCCGAAAGACTCGGCGCAAAATAAAAAGAGAAAGTGACATCTGAAGAAATAACACAGATAATTGAAAAGGAGCTTGTTACCAATTCCGAGGAAATATAGAAAATGACTAGGGCTATTGTGTTTTCTACTAATGACCTCGTAGAGTTAAAAAACATACATGAAGAGTTGAAAACCATGGGGTTGTCTCCTTGAGAAATCATGCATGTTTTTTTTAAAGTTTAAAAAAAACTTGAATTTATTACCAATATGGAATAGCTTGGACTTAGCTAACAAACTACTTTTTACGGATACTATATTGGAAAAAGACAATTGAAATTTGTTATTTTTTATTTAAAATTATGGATTTTAGAAACCATTTGAGTTTAGAACTTTGTTAATTTTGAAGCAATTTTGATTATTTGATATTAGAATTTTTTTAATATGAAAATTTTAAATAATTTTTTTACTAAAAATGTTAATTTTGAAGTTATGTATGTTAAATAGAGTTATTATTAATATTTATTGTAAAATGGTAATATGGTCATTTTTACATCTTGTTCGGTCTAGTTCTATTGTTACCAAATAGTCTCAGACAACTTGTTCTGTTCTATTCCAGTCTTACCAAACGCTATAGCAAAGGAGAATTTACATGCATTAATTTTAGGTGGTTCCCATGACCCACCTTAAATTTCAAATCTTATAATAAGTTATATAGGAAAAAATTTAAGAACCACCTTGAAATTTTTTAGAACCTACCTTATAATGTTAGATAAAAATTGGTGATCAATTTTAAGGACCTAGTTAATTGATTTATAAGCTTATCTATACCTAACCCACATCGGCATTGGAATAAAAACTATCTGATGTTTGTTATCTATAAAAAGGAAAAGTGATGGAAAGGTTTATTATGGAATGTTTAAGTAGTAAAGCTTTCTACCTCCCACTCCAACATTGTTGAGTGGATTTATTGAGGAAAAAAAAGACAAATAAAATCCGAGACTAGGTTTTTTTCTAAGTTTAAATTAGTTTTAGTCATTTAATATTATTTTTAAATGTTGAACTGATTTTTATCGGTCTAACTTGATCTTGTCCGAAAAAAGGACAATTTTTAGGTTGAATTAGTTTGAGTTGGATCGAGTTTTAAAGATTTCCGATTTTCTTGGCCAAGTAGGCAAAACTGGCCTCAATAGAAGGTTAAGTCCAAGTAATTTGCGGAGTACTCGACCGAGTTATTCGATTTTTACAACACTACATACGACCCGACCCAAAACTAATAATTTTAACTATTTCATTTTTTTCGGTTTCACTTAAATAGGAACCACATGGTTTTTTGTTTTAGACTTGCCACTTTGGTATACAAATTATTTGTTATGTCCAGTCTAACCATATTCAGTCCGGTCCGGTCCAACGGTACCTTAACAATGTATATTATATAATCATTTAATTAGCTATTTTCACACCAAAAAACCATTTGAAGGCTACAATCCATTAATGTCCTATTTGTTGAATCCCTCGGTAAAAGATTGTTTCCTCAGTAAATCCTCCTTAATGTCCTATATGCTGAATAATCAAAATAAATTTCATTTACATCCTAGATCTGCTTAGAATCCTTTGTTATATGCCCAAATTTTGCTAGTTATCCGTAGCTAATTCCGTCGTTGAAACCCAAAGTTTCTAATAGTGCATAGTTATGGAAAACGTCCCAGTTTTGAAAAGAATAATTTACACAATCAATTTTTATTATTATGTTTTTACTTTATATAATTTTATATGTTTTAAAATTACAACATATGTTTTAAAAATAAAAAAATACAACTTTCAACTAATAGCTAGTTTGCGGAAGAGGTCCTTAAGTCCTTTATATATGTTGTTACTAAAGAGTTTTTCAAAGTGATAATGATTCGATCCCGTTAGGTTTCTCATGCATGTTGTTATTATTCTCTGCGTGTTATTTTGTGTATCCAGCAGTTTTTTGAGATTGATAAGGATAAACATAAATTATTTATTTTATTTTGAATAAATTTAAAATTTAAACAGAGGATAGTCTATTTTTTTAATAATATGACAGGTTTGTACTTATGTTAATAATATATTAATATAGATATAGATGGATTGGAAGATAAACAAGGAAAATATGGAGTTGGCATAATTTAGAGAGGCATTAATAATTATCCCGTATTTCATTCTAGAATCATCCCTCTGGTTAATTCGTAACTATATATATAATCATCGTTGATATTAAAAGAAGACAAGCTGATTGAGAGAAAGAATTAATAGCAGGAGTACGTATAGTGGTGATCGAAGGCATTGAAGTTTCTGTTAGGACTTTTCGTTCGTCAACTTGAGGTATATATAATATAACTTCGGCTCTAGATTTCAAGTATACATGTAGTCCTTAATATATTGATATTTGAACGTATTGAATGTTAAAGATGAATTAACGTAACCTGATTCGACCATATAAAATCACGATCCAAAAATCGATTTTAGTGATGTGTTTGTATTGATCATCTGCAAGGAAGTAGAGTTTAACATGCATTCGGTAGTTTTAATTAATATTTGAGTTAATAAAATTATTAAACAAATTATGCATAAAACTGTTTGGTATCGATAAATACATGATATTGGATATTGTTGATTTCTTTTTTCGATATTGTTTACTTGATCAGAGCCATGGGAAACGAAACATCAGTACCACTGAAAGTATTTGTTGATGATAAGAAGAAAAAGGTGATGTTTGCAGAAGCTGAGGAAGACTTTGTGGAAATCCTCTTCAGTTTTCTCACTTTGCCTCTTGGAACAATCGCAAGACAGCTCTCAAGAATATTTCCAGGGGACTCGACATATACAAAACTTGGAAGCTTGACTTCTCTCCATGAAAGTGTCGGGAATTTAAATATGACACTTTTCTCAAGCCTGGAATCTAAGGGTTCCCTAGTTCATACAATAAATTCATCAGCTCATCTTTGTGAAAAACTTAAAGTAAATCTGAATCATGATCAAAGGGCGCGTGTGTTTCCGCATGAGGAAATTTTTCTCAAAAAGAAGGCCAAGTTCATCATTACTGATGATCTCAATGTAGTACCTATTGTGCTTGATAAAAGCATTGAGCTTCTTAATTCTCTTGGTGTTGACTACATTGATGAACTACAGGAGAAAACCGTGAACTTTGGCTTAAAAGAGGTAATTAAGCTTTTTATAATAATGGAATAGTTCAAAAGTTATCGTTTAGTTTTAATATATTCACTGTTCAAATTATTATTTCAGTTCATACATCTACTGAAGTGGTCACTATTTACGAATAATTCTTTAACAAATTGTGTGTTGGGGGGAAGAAAGCCAAGTTCATCGTTCTTCACAAACTCTACATTAACAATTCCGAGTACCTCTGGCCAGATTCAGACTCAGAAAATAAAATTACTTATACAAAAATCAAAGAAGAAGGTATTATGTGCACAAGTGGAGAATCATTTTGTTGAATTGCTGTTTAGCTTCTTAACTATCCCATTTGGTGCATATGAACGTATAACAAAGGATATTGGTTCATCTCCATTAATGGGTACAAGTAATCTTTACAATAGTATTTCAAGTTTGGGAGAATACTTGACATCTGAGGATGTGAAGACGATGCTACTTTGCCCAAACATTGCAGAAAGTTATGTTTGTGTGACTGATTTGCTGCCGATTTATGAAGTAAATAAACGCCAAGGTTCTTTCCTTAACAAAGAACAAGCAACAATATTCATGGTTTCCAATGATTTGAAAGTAACAACGTGTCCATCAATAGCTACAATTTCAAAGTTTAACACACATGGTGTTCCTATCCATGATATGGAGCTTCTTGAATTGAGCATTGGTGAACAAGAGGTAAGATATATATAGCTAGCTTCGGGATACATGAATATTAATAAATCCTTTAAGTTAATTAAAACAATTTGCATGCATGACACCATTTGCTTTGATTATGCGCACAGGCACTTTTACTTCTCAAGGCATCTCTAACGTCAAGATCAGCTTTAACTGATTGGTTCAGGGCATTACTATCTATGAAGAAATTAAAGGTAAAAAAGCATCACTTTTTTGGACACACTACAACTAGCTATTATCCCTCTTCTTAGGTGAGAAAATTAGAATTGTTCATATCTGTACTCATTACATACTTAAATTGATTTTTCATATTGCTTTTACTGATCTTCTTTTTCTTATTTCTGGCCATCAATTTGAAGAAGAGATAATGGATCGTTCTAAGCTTGCTATCTAACAGTTTAACTTTTCATTGTTAAAACTTAAGCATGTTGCTTCTATTAATTTGGTTTATTACTATTCATTTTCTCCATATATATTTTTACAATTGTTGATAACAACAGTTTTTCTATTGTAGGATCTTGTGCCAAACAATGATTTTGGTGTAGATGGAGGAAGCATGTCTGAAGAAGAAGTTGGTTCCAATTCAGAAGTAGATAGTCATAGTGACAAATTATCCGTGGCTGGAGATGCTGGAAGGGAGTCAGAAGAAGAAGCTGTGTTGATTTCAGAAGAAGAAAATCATAGTGATGCATTATCCGTCATATCGTTCGATTAGATATTTGGGTTTATAGTATCTATTTTAATTAAGCTTATTGCTACTATTTTAAACTCTATATGACTTTTGAAAGGATGAATTTGGACTTTTTTCTGTTGTCTTTCTGGTTGGATAGATAGAAAAACGAAGAAAATGATTGACCAGATAATGGAATGGAATAGTTTGGTTAACCTATAAGGAACGGAATGAGTTTTTATATTATTAATTGATTAATTCACATTATAATATAAAGTTCATACAAAAGAAACTAGTTTAATGAGATCAGCAAACCATTGCATACATGACCGACCCACGATACTAGAAATAGGGAAGTTAGGACCTATAAGGTTAAACGGTGTGGTAATTTCTTTGTCTACCAAAATTTGGTGTCATATAGACGCTACATAAATTTTGGTCATTCTTATCATTTTTTTGCCTAGGAGTATGTTTAGGAATACACTTATCGTTCACAAAAAGCCCATGACACCGTTCAGCGTAACGTCTTGGTATCATGCATACTAAATCAATAAAAGATGTTACTAATATATCCCTCAGGTCTTAGAGGTTGTTGAATAGTTGTTGATTGAGTTAGATCTGATTGAGTCAGATGTCTTGATTGATTCTACATCTGAAACCATGTTGATTAATTACGAGTCTGACTGACTGTGATTAATGATGAAAATGACCATTTTACCCTTCTGTTCTATATATATGACACTCAATTTAAACAAGTGATTCTTTTCCTTTTAATATATTCAAAGATAAATTACAATACATGACCAACCAAATCAAATCAAAATGATAATTGCATATCTAGTTTGTTTGTTTGTTTTTTTTTTTTCACAAAATTGTTGCTTTTTCAAATTTGGCCATAATGCCCATCCTTAATCCAAAACAACCTCTTGGTACATTTGGAAGCAAATTTTAACCATTTTCAATTTCCTCTGCTAAAAAAACAATTTCCTCTTGAAAATTTTCGAGTTTTCTGACAACCTCCAAAAGATCAATTCTTTATGGTAATTTACCCAAAACTTAAAGTAAAAACTAGTCTTCATATTTTCAATATTTTTTCATGTTTGTTTTATTGACCAAATGCCATAACGGATTCAAAAACCAAACTACATACACACAATCACATACATACACACAATCACATGAAAACTGAAATTCTAAAATCGAACAATTTCTATGGGCATTGATTTTTTTTTCTAAGTTAAGTATTCACTATAATTCAACCATAGATTCAACTTTGTGATTTTTTCCAAGGGATGTTCATTCTCCACTGCTTTCTGTTTTCGCCCACTCACCCATCCTATCTATCAAACCAAATAATATATCGGCTATAGCCAAAATTACTTATGTAAAATCAAGCGAATATAATGACATGATTCTTTTAAGATAAAAGTACTCACTTTTGGTTCCAACCCTACAAAAATAAAAAATAAAAATAATGATAGAAGCCACATAAATCAGAAGCAAGGTGAAACAGAAACCTTGGAGAAATAAGAAGCTTTGGAGAACCGATGTTGGAGAGGAAAAATATAAGTTGATTTCGATGAGGCTGAAGTTGGCGATGCAGAGACTGGTGTCACAACTAGCAAATTAGGGTTAAGATTTTGATCCTTGTACGAGACAATTCCTCCATGTAAACTTGTACTATCCCTTTTAGTGAAATTCAAACTTCGATGCTATTTAAATTCATCCGTTCATACATGGTGATTCAAGTCGAAACAACCTCGTATAAGTCCACAACTCGATCCAATAAGCCAAGTCTAATCACTTTTGGGCCTTAGCCCAAGAATTCTCGACCCAAAACCCTTATTGGACCAAGACTTCTCCCTTGGGCCCTATTGGTCCGATAACTTCTTCACTTTGTCTTATTGGGCCGAAAACCTCTCTTTTGGCCTTAATGGGCCGAAAACTCCTATTGGACTTTATATTGGGCCGAAAACCCATGCTTGGGCCTTATTTGGGCCGAGAACTCCTATCTTTGGGCTCTTTGAACCGAAAACCGCTTATTAAGCATCAATGAGCCAAAAATCTTTATTGGGCCAAGCCAAATCGAAGCCCACCACTTTGGGCCAACCTTGGGCCGAGAACCCCTCTTGGGCCGGTTGGATTAATAAAAAAAAAACAAAAAAACAAAAAAAAAGGAAATAAGCTTGACACCTTATAATTACACAACATATATTTATCCCCCATGCAACCAAGCTAGTCCTATCAAGTAAGGAAGAAGTCAACTCTTCTTATCTCCCATCCTCTCTCTTAATCGGTCGAACACCCCTCTCCCTCCCACTCTCATTTCAAGTTTCCTTTCAACTCATTTTCCTCTCATTTGCTCTCAAGAACATCTCACCTTCTTCTCCCAAATGTTTTCGTGTGTGTGAGGGAATTCTCCAAAGAATCTTCTCCAAAAGCTCTTAAAGTGGTAAGTGTTCTTGTTGACTTCAAACATCCTTACATCTTTCAAGCTAAAACTCTTGTTTACATCCTTTGTTTTGTGTTAAAACTCTTAGAAACACCACACTTTCGAGAATCTCACCAAGATCACAAGCTAGACTTGAAGTTTCTTCTTCCTCTTCTTCTACATCTCGAAAATCCTCAAGGTGAGCTTCATACCCCACTATTTTCATGTTTATCACTCTTTTTTTTAGGGGGGGGGGGGGGAGGGGGGATTACAAGTCAAGTCTTGTTTGAATCTGTGAATATTTACATGCACTTGTATGTTTATGTGGCTATGTGTGTTGAAATGTTGATTACTTCAAGATAACACTCCATAAACAGAGATTTTATAAATCTCATAACTATCCTTGAATAATTTCACATATATTGGTATTATGTTGAAGAAGAAATAAGTTACTAAGTAAAAATGGTTTCTAGTGTGTGTTAAAAATCAAAGAAATTGTCATAACATATTGGGTGGTAAAAGCTTGAAAGATGGTGAAAATATATGAGTTACACTCAAAAAGGTTAATTTTTGGTTATATATATTTTTCCCCTAATACTTGTACAAATATTGGAACATAACAACTCTCATGGATTTATATGAGATTTTGTGGAATATTTTGTTTACAAAGCTCTCAAATAAAATTTTGGGTATGTTAAAATACACTACTAAACTTGGTTATTTTTTTTCTAAAAACTATTTTTATTAGTAAAATAGTCGTAATATGTTGTCATATTTTGCTAGTTTGAATACTTAAAGAATTATAATATTTACACAATGTATACTACAGTTAGACGAATTCACTAATGATTATTTATAAAAAGCGTTAAAAATAATTGAACTAAAACGGTATACAACCAAAAGTTTTACGACAGAAAATTTCGCGTAAACCTGTTAAGGCACTTGTGAGACTCTCCTTCGCCGTACCTACCTAGCGTACACTGTAAGTCCTGTAGTTATAACCAGAGTCTCCTGGAGGGAGAGCGAGGTAATTGTGTATAGATCTATACGGGGTTGACACCCCCACACCTAAGCTGTTCGCTACAGCTAGACTAGGCCAGTCTAGGGTGAAAAATATCTTACCGAAACCGACGTCTGAAGAACGTCATGACAGACATTTAGTCGTATCAAACATGGTTGTAACGACTCACATATGGATTAACAATGATATTTTGGATCTACGAAATTGTACACTTCACTGGTTTTATAAAATATTAAACTATATTTCACTATTGTACTTTACGATCACCACTCGAGTCTTTAGGCTTTAAGACTACATCTTTTCAATAAAACAGGAAATATAGGATTTTCTGGGAATGCACACTCTTTTTACTTACAAGCAAAAGAAAACAAAGGACACACATGCAATTATTCACGGTTTTAGAACGAGACTACAAACTATCTTTTTCACAGGAAATATCGGATTTTCTGGAGTTTTACAAATTATTACAAATCAAAGATATTACAAAGTTTTTATACAAATATGCTTATGAACTCACCAACTTTTTAGTTGACGCTTTTCAAAACGACTTGTATTCTCATGGACTCAATGAGCACGTACCCCGAGGCTATGGATTTTGTGCACTTACTACATTTTTTTTGGAAACATCATATTTATTGTCACAGTTGTGTAATGTTGTGAACAAATACAATCCTGTAAACAATGAATGTTGGTATCTTTAACGTATGATGTTGGTTGCAATGTTTCCAATTATATTCAATTGTGATGATACAATACAATGAAGTCATCCGGCCCCGGACGTTTCCGCCGTCCTGGTTCGGGGGTGTGATAGTTGGTGAGGTAGAAGTTGATGATGTTGAAACCGACAATGGTGAAGAAGTCACTGAAGAAAATGTCGTTCAAGGGGGAGGGGTTGTCCCTCAAGGCATGGTAGGGCCATACAAAAGAGAGTTTTCTTGGAAATTAATTCAATCAGTGTATTTGGTTGATTCGGTCAAACTCTTTTGACTCTTTGTACTCTTCTTACTCATCCAAAAGCTCAAAACTACATCATCAAACAGGTTGATTAACCGAATCAAACCTGACATTTTACTTGACTCAGTAAAATATATATCAAACAGACCCTTATCGTCATGGGTTATTAAAAGGAAATTTAAAGTTTAAGTCCATGAAGTTTCCTTGCTTATTGGATAACTGCCTTAGCCTCATTTTCTTTTAAAGTTCTAAATTAATCCTATTGACTTTCATAATTTGCACTAGTCATATTTAAATTAGTTTGATTTAATTTTTAGTTTTCCATTTTGACACTTAACCGCTTTATTAAATTTAAACGTAAAACAGACTATTTAATTAAGTTAACTATATAGGACTTTAAATTTATTTTATTATAAAATGAATAATTGAAACTTTCTCTAAAAATAGATGTTACAAATAATGTTGATTAACTGAGTCAGACCTGACCTCTTATTGGAAATAAAGATCATGGGTGGTACTGCGAGTTTCACGAATCCACTAGGCACGACACCATCAAATGCACTATGCTGCGACGAGAATCAAAAAACAAGATGCAGTCTACACAACTTACCGACCTGATAAAAGGACTTCGGTCCAAACCTTTGGAAAGTATTGCACCAATCTAGCCAAAAATAAAGAATTTAGGGAAGAACGAGATTTTCATGTTCAAACAGCCAAATCAGTCCTAAGCAGATCACAAATGGGATGACTAGGGGTTTAATTTTGGCGAATGTGATTACAACCCAACAATCATAAAGGAGATGGAGCCATAGTAATCGGGGGATTCTTAGGCAAGAACTACGTGAATGACATTTATATAGATAGTGACAACTCGACAAATGTTATATATACAAGCAATTTTACAAGCAACTCTTGAGCCACGTTCAGAAGAAGATAGAACCACCCGAAACTCATCTACCCAGCTTCGTCGGGCATAACGTATGGCCGGAAGGAACAATCATGTTACCGCTTACCCTAGTAGACTACAACAATGGTAGGACCGACACTAAACTAGGGCCCTTGTTAAAAATAAAATTTTAAAATTATTTAAAAATATAAGAAAGAGTTTGGGCATATATGATATTTTGAAGTGTATAAAAAATAGATATGATATTTAAAAATTAGATTGGACAAATATGATATTATGATATTTAACAAAGGTATACAGTGATGGAGTCAGGATCAAAGTAAAGAGGTGGCGCAAAAAATATTCCACGTAATATACAATAAGAAAAAATAAAAACCGTAATTTCATTAGACATAACAAAGTTTCAAGAAAAAATAATCATTAACGATTAACCATAAGTACCTAATTTAACAAAACATAATCGGTAATTTCTAATTTTTCGACAAAATGCGAAAAAAAATGAAATTTGAAATAACTTAACAATAATAATAGAATTTAGTTTTATTTATTTACTTGTTTCATTGTGCAAGTTGACCGTTGCCGACAACAACAAGCAGCAACGTGAAGTTGTGAGTGCGCATGGGAGGGAGGAACGAACAAACAACGACAACAATTTTGGGTCTTCCGATTTTTTGCAAAACAATAATATTTGGCTTCTAGCTTTCTTTGCTTCATTAAACTATTTTTTCTTTTGGGCTTAAAAACTTCGAAAAGTATTGGGCATTTTGACTATTTTAAATATTTTGGGCTATTTTGTATTTTGATTTATAAATTAGAAATAATCTAATATTTTTTAGGGTAGTCCAAATTTTTTCCGGAATGGCAACACAAAATAAAATGAAAATTTTAGAAAAAATTTACACGACTGGACAAAATTTAAGGAGCATGCTCGGCTACCCCGAGCTCCTACATAGATCCACCAATGAAAATATATACAAAATTCTCCCTATAAAAATTGCTAATAATTTTTATGTAATTAAAACTGGGCATAGAATAATAAGTTACAATGTTTAGTTTTTACAGAGAAACCCATATTCAAATCTTGTGAATCCACCAAATATGTATATTTTAATAAACTTAGTTTTTCCAGTGAAACCTATATTTCAATCTTGTGAATCAAAATATGTATATTTTAATAAACTTTAATCGAATCTTTTAAAGGGTTGCCTTTTTTATTCGTGCCTTATATTCTACTTTATAAAAAATTTAATCTAAATTTTACGGGGCTACCTTTTTTATTATTGTTCCAGCCCAGGCCCAAAACCTGTTCCGCTAGTTATACTTTGTGTTTTATATTGGTTTATCAGAGCTTTTTTAATTATTTAAATTAATGTAAAAATATTGGGGTTTCTGTATGATAGGTTTGTACTTGACGTTTCACAGCTTGTACTAATACTCTAATAGTATTATAGATAAACAAGGAAATATGGAGTTGGAATACTCATATATCTTTCTAGAATCATTCCCTAAATTAAATCATGTCTTAGCTATAAAATCACCGTACGTAAGAGGGAAATTAGTTTTTTTTAGCAGAAAGAAGCAGTCGTCGTGATTGGAGGGAGGCATTAAAGTTTCTATAACTTCGGCTCTAGATTTCAACTTTCATGTACGTACTTCTCTCTAGCTTGTTTATGTGCATGTATTAGTCGTTAGCGTTGCCTGATTAATCAATCATCATACAACTGATGAACAGATTTTTTGTGGTGTGTTTGAGTTAACATATTTAATTATTAGACAAACTCACAATCAGAAGCTCAAAATCAGGTTTAATGGCAGAATATTCACCCACCAAAGTTGGGTCTACAAAACCAAGATCCGACAGGTTTAGGTCAGATTGGGATCTTAACATCGGTCTTCAATCTGTGTCACATCCCATTCTAATGTATATAAGCTTTCGATTCAAAGTTATGCTTAGTATTCATGTTAATGAAATATTGTAGAGTTTACAATTTAATAATTTTGCCCAAAACCAGTTTGACCAAGACCAAAAAAAAAAAAAAAAAACAAAAAGACGCCTAGACTAATTTCGTTCACGTCTTAAAACAAAAATATTGGGCTGAAAATACTAAAAAAAAAAAGGACAAAAGTTGTGGGCTAAGTTATAAGCCCGCAACTAAGACAAATAGGATCAGGATCCAGGCTGAGTCCCATTAATGGTCTGTTAACCAGTTAATGACTTTTCAATCCGAATCTAACCAAATCTATTGAAAAGACCCCTAGCTAGAGCATTTTTATTAAATTGTTATGTTAAAACCGTTAATTTAAAAATTACAATATTTCGAAATTTTAAATAATTCTTAAAAGTTATAAATTTAAGTGTTATTTTTAACATCTGATTAGTTAGATTACATCTCCGGTTGTATAGTATATGCCTAATTTAGGATTTTTGGGCACTATTTTATTCAGGGAGTTAACGAATTGTCATAATTAAGTTGCTAACTAACCGTATTTAATTTTGTTAATTGTTTATATTTAGGAAAGTTATAATCTATCTATACATTGTTGATTTCATGCAATTTTTTGGTGCTTCCACTTACCTAGAGTTTGTTTCACATCATCCATGCGATATATATTTGGTTTATTCATGTCATTATTTTTGAAAGATTTGATGCAAATAACTGTTTGGTGTTTTGATAAGTACACGTATACGTATAATATAAACATTTATTAATTTTCTAGCTACGATATTGTTAACATGATCAGACGTACTATGGGAACGAATGACAAATCAGTTCAACTGAAAGTGTATCTTGACAAAAAGAAGAAAAAGGTGAAGTTTGCTGTAGCAGAGGAAGACTTTGTGGAAATCTTGTTTAGTTTTTTCACTTTGCCTCTTGGAACAATTGCAAAACTCTCAAAAAAATATTCTAATAATGATATCAAAGTTGGAAGCTTGACTTCTCTATATGGAAGTGTCGTGGATTTAAATTTACAACATTTCTCTAGCAAGAAGTGTAAAGATGGTCTGGTAAATCCAAGAAACACATCAGTTTCTCATTGCAAGAAGCTTAAAGTAAATCTAGATGAAACAAATCCCATGGATGATAGTGTAGCTACTGATGATGTTGTGTTTCTCAAAAACAAGGGTAACTTTATCATTACCGATGATCTCAATGTAAAGCCTTTCATGCTTGATAAAAGCATCCAACTTTTAAATTCTCTTGGTGTTGAATCCATTAATTGTCTAGAAGAGAGAAAGATGCGTTTTGGCTTGGAAGAGGTAAAAGGTTTTGGTTAATTTATTATATCAGCGTTTGAATTTTTATAAAAAATTATATATCTTTTTAATATTATCATATATGTTTCAGTTCTCGAATCTACTTCTGTGGTCACTATCGACAAATAATCCTTTGACAAATCTGGTGCTCGGGGGAAGTAAGAAGCCATGGTCATCCCCATCGTGTCTCACAAATTCTACATTGATCGATATTACTTCAGCTAATTTGGTTTCAAGTAACTCTGGGAAGATGACTCAACCAATGAAATTACTGGTGCATAAAGCAAAGAAGAAGGTTCTATGTGCACACGTTGAGCATCCTTTTGTGGAACTGCTCTTCAGCTTTCTAACAATCCCGTTAGGTAGTTTTGTACGTTTAACAAAGGAGATCGATGATGATTCATCTCCAGTTCAAGTGGGCATAATTAATTTGTACAACAGTATTTCATGTTTGGCTGATGAAAATTACTTGGAATCTGAGGATGTGAAGGCCATGCTACTTTGCCCAAAGATTGCAAATAGTTATCGTCGTGTCACTGAATTTCTGCCGATTTATGAAGTAAACAAAGACGCAGGTCGTTTCCTTAAAGAACACGCAAGAATATTCATAGTTTCTGACGACCTGGTAGTAACAATCTCTCAATCGATTGATATAATTTCAAAGTTCAACACACTTGGTGTTCATGTTGCTGATATGGAGGTTCTGGATGTAACCATTGGTGAACAAGAGGTAACGCTAGCTTAATTTCAACTTTGCATGTAGATAAGAGAGAAGCAACCATATATTGATTGATCTACGATAATTGTATTTTCGAAACTATCTGGTTTAATATTGCATGACACGTACCTTTGTTTCATTATAAAATGCAGGCACTTTTACTTCTCAAGGCTTCTCTCTCGTCAACGTCAGCTTTAACTGATTACTTTGATCCATTTAGGAAGAAACCAAAGGTAAAATCATCGACTTGAAGCCCTAACATACTAACCCTCTTCTTTGGTGGGGAAATTGAATTTTAAAGTGTTGACAATAATTGTTTTATGTTTATAGGATCATGTACCAAATATTGCTTTTGCTGAAGATGGTGGAAGCGATTCCGGAGAAGAAGTTGATTATTCAGGAGATGAAGTTGGTTTTACTTTAGAAGATGAAGATGATATTGATGGATCATTCGTAATTATAGATTTATAGATTAGATATTTAAATTTGTAGTTTGCTATTTATGCTTATGACTCATGGGTTGTGTGGAGCTATAGAAACGGAGTTGTTTTTAAAAGCAAGTTGAGGGGCGTTAATTCCAATGTTTAAAAAACCGGTTTTTTTGTTGAACCGGTATGTCGACCGGTTTCCAGTTCAACCGCCGCGTCAACCGGTTTCTATAATTTTCATATTTTGTTCTTATTTTTCTACACATGCATACATACATAAATCATGAATTTGACGTTTACAAGTTCAAACATTAAAAATACACATAAAAATAAGTTGTAGATCTGTCTAAATACATTAAAACAACATATAATTATAAGTTTTACATCAATTTACATACGTCAAAAAGAAAATAAAGTATAATACCGAAATAAAATATAGTTTTACATGAATACAAATGCATCAAAAGACATCATAACATTTACCATATGTTTTTATTTAGAGAAATCTAAATAGATATGAAAAAATCCACAAAAGTTTATTATTGAAAATGGTTTTTTCCATGTATTTTTATTTAGTTTAACCGGTTCAACCGGTTTATTTTGACCTGTTCAATTGGTTTTTTCTAAAAACTGGCCGGTTCAATCCGGTTTAGAAATTGGTGTAAAACCGGAGATAGTTGAACCGCTCCCTTTCCCGATTCCCGGTCCAACCGGTCGGTTCAAACTGGTTTTTAAAACACTGGTTAATTCTCTTGTTTTTGAGGTCAAATCGATAGCTTTTCTTTGGCTCAAATGTAGAACTAAATTGTTTTTTTTCTCTGGATCTAAATAGCTTGAATTTTTTTTTTAATCCCCTCCTAGGATGTCGCTAGTTTGCAATCAAGGTTGGCCTTATGTGCAAATAAACAAAGGTACTAAGGTAGGGCTTAGGGCCCCTACCATTTAACCCAAATTCCGAGTCCATATTCCACAGAAATTTGATGAAGCGCTACACTCTACGCCTCAAAACTCAAAAGTTTTGTCTTCTTAAGCGATTAGCGATCGACGATTAAACTTTTGCCTCTGGTCTTCTTCTTCTCCATTCTTGTACTTTAAATAACGATTCTAGGATTCTTCTTCTTGATTCTAGGAATCTTCTACGTTGCCTTATGATCTTCTTCCTGCTCCAGTCTCGGCTTCTTCCTTCTCCATTAAAGGTTGTCACAGACTCACAGTGTCACTGAAACGCAGAAACGGTAATATATATGCAATTTTTTGTTCAGTTTACGATTCTTATTTTTCCATTGAAGGCTGTAAAAAACAGTCATGATGTCATCTGATATTTTGATTATCTAAACGGAGTTAATACTTTTTAGTTATTATTTTTTCAGTTATCTGATTTTTTTATTCCATTGTTCATTGATTACACCAGATTACAGAATATACAATCAATGAATCAGGTTGGAAGGAATTTGAGTTTTCAGTTTTCTAGATTTGAGCTTTCCATTATCGCAGGGGCGGTATAATCGTAATCCATATCTTCTATACTTATAGCTTGATGATCATTCATTGTTATTATTAATCAAATAATTAATAATCATATCAAAGAGAAAATACGAATCAGGTGCTTTAAAAAGGAAACAGAAAATGGAACAAGAAGCTTTTATAGGTAAGCAAAAAGGGTCGTTTTTAAAATATTTAACTACAAACGAAAATATTGATAATGAGCAAGAACAAACTAATGTTGATAATAATGATCATGAACAAACTAATATCAAAAATGATAATGAACAAACTAATGTTGAAATTGATAAGGAACAAACTAATATAGTGAAAATGATAACGAACAAACTAATATTGAAATTGATAATGAATAAACTAATAGTGAAAATGATAACAAACAAACTAATAATGAAAATGATAATGAACAAACTAATATTTAAAATGATAACATGCTTTTAAACATATATGATCGAAGTAGATGGAATAATATTGATACTAATTTAAGAGATTTATTCGTAGAAAAAGGTCCTATTAAGATTTATGATTTTAAATTTCCAAAAAGATGAACATTTAAGAAGCTTTAGTACATTTCTTTATATGCAAAAAATACTAAATTGAGAAAAATATGAACGAATTAGGTTGGTTTATTCTATAGATGTAGATAGAGTTTTTGATTTTGTTGTAAATTATTTAATATGAATATATCTACATGTTCATTAACACATAAAGATAACAATTATTGGAACAATATTTCTAATATACTAAAAAGACATGAAGCAAGTAGCGAGCACATTCTTAATATGAGGTCATGAATTGATTTACAAACTAGATTAGCAAATAATAAAACAATTGACAAGCAAACCCAAGAACAAATAAATAAAGAAAAAGAACATTGGAAAAATGTGTTAATAAGAATCATCGTTGTAATAAAAACTTTAGGAAAAAATAATTTAGCATTTCGTAGAATAAATGAAAAGATTTATGAAGAAAATAATGGTAATATTTTAACTATAATTGAAATGATTGCGGAATTTGATCTTATTATGCAAGAACATACTAGGCGAATTAAGGACAAAGAAATTCATAATCATTATCTTGAACACAATATTCAAAATGAACTTATTAGTTTATTAGTAGAAGAAGTTAAAAGAAAATTTATTAAAAAAGTAAAAGAAGCTAAACAATTTTCTTTACAATTCAATAAAAAAAATGGAATAATCATGGATTCTAAGGACACATGATTGCGACTTGGTTTTTTAGAGGACTTCTAGCAACAACCATCTTCAATCATTGATGGATGTCGTATTTTGTTGACTTCGTTCACCAATTACAAGAAATTAACACCAATACACATTCCTATGCAAAAAATCGAGCACTCTATCGATCCCTCTATCCGGTTAACAAATGCCCTATTCTGGGGACTTTCTTTAGCAATCATCCTGAAGTGAAGAAATGACATTGAAACATACACTGTAGGTAAATTTCAACTTCTTACGTGTATACTCAACAATACCCTTAGCCGCACACAAAAACTAGATATTTGCTCATGGTTGCGTTTTATTCTTCTTTGCTTGAGAAATATCCATGCACAAACAAATGCAACTAATTATGAATCTAGTTATCTATATCTATCATCATATCATATCCTCACGATCATTGCTTAGCATTCTAAGTTTAAGTCTAGAAATAAATCTTTATTCCTAGTTCGCTTAAACTAATTCTCTGATACCAACTGTGACATCCCCATTTATATGGCCAGAAAAGACCGATTTGTTTATGCTTTATTTTGGAAATCAGAGTATCCTTTTAAATAAAAATGTTGCGGAATTTGTTCACAGAAAAACATGATAAGTACGTTATCAAAGCATTCCCGAAGAAATGTATTTTATTCATTTTAAACCATTGGGATGTCATTGCCAATACAGAAACATAAGCATAAACAGATCTTACATTCATTTATACTAGTGATCTACATCTCCTTAATATCTCAGTGTAATGTAGCTTCATATCGACACTTGTGATACAAATAAACTGAGTGGGTCAGGTTGGGAAACCTGGTGAGTACATAGGGTTTTCAACCCACAATAATATAGTTATTATGTTTAAACATCAAACAATTAACCCAATTACCCATCCCCATTATTCTTAAGTATCTTCCCTATGAATAATCTATTCCTCATTATTTATTCCTAATGATTGTCCTAAGGAATAGACACGAAGTCCATCGTTGTCAGGGTTTATTCAACAGGCACTAAGTCCATAGTTGTCAGGGTTCATCCAACGGACGCTAAGTCCATAGCTGCCGGGGTTGTCTCATTTATTGACAGGATTATTTTCAGGAGTCCACCCACAATACGTGTCAATGGGTTTTTAGAGTACACCGGGTGAACGTCTCGTTCACAACACCTAAAGGTTGCGAGCCTCCTAGTGTTCCACCGGACTATCTAGAATCGTCCGTTGTGACAACCCGAAAATTTTTGCTTTATATGACAAGCCAAACAACCTTAAGTCAGACTCACTCCTGCTATCATTTGGCACTGTTTAGAGTCTGTTTGAGTGTTTTAAGCCCAAATCATTCAAGGAATGAGTGTCAGGAAGTATCTGCTAGAGCCACAGTACAAAGATCAAGCCATAAACCCCTTTCATGAGGAGTTTACGGCCAAAACACATGAGTTTACGGCCATAACTCATGGTGGCCGTAAACCCTTAGCTATATAAAGGATACTTAGCCATTTTCTTCACTTTTTCCTTTCCTTGGCCAAAAACACTTCCAAATCCTCTCAAGTATCTTCAAATTCATCATCTTAGATCATCAAAAACGTAAGTGTTCTTCCTTTAGTTTGATGTTAATTCTTCATTAACTAGCTTCATCTAATGATTTCATCCATGAAAATCATCTTTTCTTAGATCTTCAAGAAACACCAAGAACACACACTAGTGTTCTTGGACCTTAAACACCATTTCAAGCCTCTATATCGTAAGTACTCCTTCCTTAACTTATTGGCTAGTTGGAACACTTGATTAGGGCCTTGAAATCATCAAGAATACAAGAACAAAAGGAGTTTACGGACAAACAATCTCCCTTGGCCGTAAACCCCTATAAAGATGTCAATTAAACCCTAAACACTTCCTAAGGCTTGGAATTGAGACTAGGACACTCCCTTGTGCTTTGTAAGATCTTGAAACATCACCAAAACATCATCTATGTGAGTTTACGGCCCAAGAGTAAACACCCTTGGCCGTAAACTCCAATAATGGTCAAGAATTGGACCTTAAACACATATAGGCCTTTGCTAAACATTAGCTCTTGAAACACCTTACCTTAAAGACCCAATAAGACATCATTTGGAGAGTTTACGGCCATAAGGTTTATGGTATGGCCGTAAACACCTCAACACCCTTCTATAAGTTGGTATTTCTCATCCTTGTGTAGAGCAATAGTCCCTCAAGCTTCCCTAGCCTTCAAACACACACTTAAGCATCTTTGACCATGAGTTTACGGCCGTAAACTCTCTTGGCCGTAAACACATGGCCGTAAACACAAGACCTTGACCTTAAACA